TTCGAAATTTGAAAAGCTCGCGCACGTGCGCAGGAGTGTGTATCGGGTTGCACCGGAAGTTCGCCAGTTGAAACACAATGGCGGCCGGATGTGGCTGCTCGAAACGACACGTATCTCTTTATTGATATCTTAGAAAGCTCAATATTTTTCTTGTCGACACTTCACAACTATTGACAGTTATGAAGTGAATGTAAATGATAGTGATTGTTGGTTCTAATGTCCTGATTGTGTAGTTTTTGTGCAATATAACAGGATCTCCGAGGGTTCACCGAGGAAGTCGGTTGAAAGCATTTTCTGGTATACGTATCATTTGTAGAGTGAGACAGTTTGCCTATGTAGACTAGCAATGGCTATGCATGTTGTTTCATTCAAACAAAAACCGTATACTACATAGTTCCCCTTTATCAGTCATTTATTCAGTATCCATTACTCGTACTGTGTGAGGCACATTCCACACAATTACGCAGCGCATTTACAACATCTATTAGCTAATACAAATATTTAAAGTCAAACACAGGTTACTCAATAAGATTAGCCTATTATTTATAAAATAGTAATTAAGTGTCGTAAATATCAGAGTTTATATTTTAATTGCGGCTATTTGAGCCTATTACATTAAAATTCGTGTTTGACACGAGTATCTGCTGTGAATATTTACTTTTATATTATGGCAATTAATGTTTATTCAATAAAAAAGCTGAATGGTTGTAGGGTAAGGCTATCAGGTCGGGGCGGGGCTTCGGCGGCTGATAAATCAGTGCGCGTCGCATGCGCAGGACGTCGGCGACCGCGCGCCGCCACTCGTCGTCGCATTAACTGCCCATATCACTTTATAGTAATAAATTATTATGATTGGCTGCCACGTAATACGCCCGATATATTGCTCAGGCTACTCATAAATGTACGCTAATAAGGATGACTGTACCTACTGCGGTTTATTGCCGATCCGAACAGATAACTGATGCCATATTATTTCAGGAAAAACTTTTTGATTTCTGTTTGTTATTACTTATAATTTATGCCCCACCGCTTGTGTAATCAAAGTCACCGCCATGTAACAGATACAAGGATAAGTGTATGTACACAACAGAAGAGTTCGTTTCAGTCGAGCGCGTCCCAAGTCGCGGCGACAGAGCGTCGTGTGCCTATGAATTTTTCAGAACATTAGACATATTGTTTGAACTGTAAGCGATTTTGCAACGTTGTTCCGAGGCGTACGTCCGGCGATTAGTCGGCGAGTGCGCAACGCGAGGATGTGCCGGCGGCAAGCGATCGCTGGCCCTTGCGACAGCGCGGATGCCACGAAATTGCACCAGCACAACATTAACCATATACCCACACGGTTTATTAATACGAGTGCAGTTGCAAAATATTGAATATATACGAAGTGTTTTTGTGCGTTAACCTTCAGCTTCGTCGGCCCACTTGCATTAGTTGGCCACGCTCGAGTTGACGCGAGGACGCGCGAAACTCACCCGGCGTCGAGCGCACGCGCTGACGACACATCATGCACTCACTTATCATTGCTGATAACTTTCATTGGGTGTGCATCATGATCATGCACTATTGATCACCGATCTATAGTAAACATACACAACCAATGTTTACTTACTTAACTTCCACCGTGGCTAATTGCTGGCTATTCTAATTACAGAATTAATCGTCAAGTGGCAAGTGAAAAACGATTGCCAAGCTTCTTTCAGAAGTTCACGTAAACTGTAACTCACCACGCCACACCATGCCAGGGTCCAGCTCTGTGGAGTCCTTAGACCGGGAGCTCGGGTGTAAAAACATAATTTACCCTGAATCCAGGCTCGCCATACTGTGATACACACTCCGAGCACTTCACTTACGTACGTTTTTGAATATTAATAAAATAATATAAAACTGTGCTGATTAATTGTAAAAATAGGAAAATGTACTGAAGGTGCTTTATCGTCAGTCACCGACACTGAACTTTTAGATAGTGCGTGCAAGAACAATACAAGTGATGAGCAAGAGCGTAGCAACCGAAGACTGACGCGAGCAGCTTGCGTGCGCGCACCACCTCGTGGTAGGGGCGATTGGACAATCTACTCTTAAACTGTACTTGCTAATACTGCCAGTGATTGATTGTGTATTTAATAAACGCAAATTTTAACTATTTTACATACATACATATATACACAATTATGTTATTTACTACTTTACATACTTAGTAGCAGAATAACTTCATTCGTCGTAAATTACACCTTAGGATTACAACAAGCAATTGCTTGTTTCAGTACAGTCATAGCAATTTTAATGATTCAAGTAATTGAGCCGACAGGGTGGGTCGTGATTTATGGTACACTAAATTAACGTAGGATTCCCAGTCTGACCTTGTTTTTAATCACTTGAAGAGTTTCATTGTACATAGGTAAACGAGCATTAAATAATTGTCATTCTGGATTACGTCATTCAAACTTAAATATTATTTATGATCATCAGAATTCTCTGTAGTATCAAGGCAGATTTGTTTTAGTTTGCAATGTGTTCATGAATTTCAATACTGGTGAAACTTCGAACATACTGTTCAAATAAATTTGTACTGATTGCCTCGAAAATTTAGGGGCGTGATGTTATTATGCACAATGCATATGAAGATGTCGCGTTTGAAATTTGTGGTACAAGGTGCAAGACTGGTTGGTAGACCTCGGCTGAGCTTAAAGAGAGCGGAAAAACTGCGCCAAGGTCGACGTATTGCGCCATACGCCCAGCCGACTGGAAACAGTGTGTTCTGATACTTACACATTACTGTAAAACGCTGCTTTTTATAAACGATAGCGTTTCTTCTTTATTATTAAACTGTAAGTGTAAGAAACGGTACTTAGCACGTGACTAGGGTACGTGATCGCAAAAGTAAAAGTCAATTTACAGGGTTATATTTTATAAGCGCTAATTGTTAGTTATCATGGAAACGTGAATAAATTTAAGCAACACACGCCTATTACTGTCGATAAATCTTGAAAATATAAACCAAAATATAATTTTAAAAGAGAAATGGCCAACAATTCTATATATCATGTTAACACGACTTTCTTGAAAAATGATTTCGAAGTTTCCCCAAAAGCGTCCGCATATAGACTCATATCTATCGTCGCCCATTTCTGAGATATGATGAAATATGCCGTACATCAATTAGTCGTGTAAATTAGTTGTCTAAATGTTTGTGGTGGTGACGAGACCACCCGGGCTAACGACGGCGAGAGGACATCTTGTCTCCTTACTTAATTTATTATTTCAGTGGCCGAGCTCCGCGTTGCAGTCAAAACATCCCGCGCCGATGATTTACAACGCAATAAACACAACGTTTTATATCTAATGGAAATGAGCTTTTATCCGTGAGATTACACAGCCACCCCCGATTGTAAAATTTGATTAATTATCATTTACCGACGTATACCGAAATAGTTGCGCAGTACATGTAAATGAGATGTACGATCGAACCGCTTTGGTTAGTGGACATTATGTGGAATCAAACTTCATAGCTCGATCGATCTAATGAATGATACTAGAATGAAAATATTGCTGAGATTTGATTATTACCGTGCTATAATCATCGGTATTTGGAAAATAAATATCAAGAAGATAATCACGCTTTTAAACCTTTATCCACTTTTCAAACAAGAATATATTATAGTAGTGGAGAAAAACTCATGTTTACATACATTTCGTAATAACATTTTAAATCTCTGATCTATATATACTAGTTATATAATTCAGCTTAATATATATGGCTGGGATTAGATTTATATGCTGATTAACAAGTCGATGTGAAGCGAGGCGTATTTCCACATTGTTAGTAGACTTTTACTGTTCTGCCGTGTCCAAACAAATTAAATTATAGTTGTAATCGTAATACTGACTGGTTTTACGGTGTAAAATATTATACCTCTATAGGTACATGAAAATTGGCAATACGTTGGTTTTGCTTTTACAGTGAAACTACTGGAGTGGAGACTGTCTTCAGTAGATCGGGTGTTATTTAAGATTTCGTGGCAATACTGCATATTTTGACAATAATACAAATTACAATACAACGTTTAATGAAAACAAATACGTAACACATCACATTACACCAAACTGCAAGAATCATTACTAGATATTCAACCATATTACAAAACCATAAAGTCTATTGAAGGAAAACAATTTGAGGGTACCTTGATGCGCATGAGTCAGCATCTGCATATGCAAGTAAGCGTTCGTAAAAATACTTATCATAAGTGCACGATAGCTCCATTATACATCAGTCGGGGTTCGAACTCACGTAATTGTCGGGCTATCGGCTGCATGTAATGAACCTCACTTTACTTCACTTAATAGCACTCTTATCAACAGTAGTTCGTATATTGTTAGTGGTTTGTTTCGACTACTGAAGTAAGCTACCGTTACTCGGTGAAAATTAAAAATCAACTTTATTCTTATGTATATTGAGAAGTAATTTAAATGTTACTTATTTCAGGGCTTGACTGCAATGTAGATACATACTACAATGATTTAGGAATAATATTTGATAAGATTTCAGATCATTAAGAAGTTTTAAAAAATGTGAATTTTCGGTACATTTTAATGTTTTACTAGTAGCTCACTGCCGTCACTCTTTAAGTAACCATAAGCGTAATGGATACATATCATGAATATAAAAATACACAAACCAAGAAAGTTTGAATTTTACAAACAATAAGGTATTAATAAAGATAATTACTATGCCCGTAGCGCTACGCCGTAGCATATCGTAGACCTCTCGTAGGCAAGTCGTGCTCTATGCTACGCTTCATTTAGCAACGCTTTTATCTTTTAATCTTTGTAGTTTGACACTTTAAGATGTTTTATAGTTAGAAAATTACTGTCTTGTTTACCTAAATAACTATATTACTAGATTCTAGTACGCTCTCACCTTTGGCTGCCAAAATTTTATCGTGAACTTAGTTCGTCGATGTCGATAAGGGTGATAATCCTGTGACAAAATATGTACTTACCGGTATTGTTGTTGTTGTTGTAGTGGTGTGCTGGAGGCGGAATATTGTACTCTGGGAGCTCGGGCAGACAAACGTTGCTCTCGTACATGTTCGGCGGTACGTTGGCCAGCAACGATCGCTCCTTCTCCACATCTAAAGGGACAGACAGACAGACAGATTGATTCAGCTGCGATGGTGATGTTATATTTTATCAGTAAAAATCTGATTACATTTAGTTTATAAAATGTTATTGACGGTAGGGTAGTTGTCTCAGTTAATTTTAATTTATTTATATCCTTAAAGTGGTTTATTGCGATGAACTGAAGATCGAGCTTAGTAACATGTTATTGAAGAGATCTATGTAGTTTTAAGAGATGAGATGGAAACGGGTTGAAGATGATGATGGGACATACAAAGTTTTCTTACATCAATAAGTACGTACCTTTTTGTAATATCTCGAGATGTTCCCAAAGGATGTCTCCCATGAAGGCGGGTGCGCGTGCGACGAACTCCTCGCGTCCCATGGCGCAGATATCCTTGCCTTGTGTGCGGGCAAACTGTTGCAGGGCCACGCCTTCCAGGGAGAACTCCCGCGCTGCCCATCGCAGCCACGCTGCCACCGCCGCCTCGTTCCATTGGCGAGGGTCTGTTGAATAAATTGGGTTAAGTGGGAGAACAACTAAAAGACATAAAACATGCATATATCAAAAGGTTACACAATTACTTTTCCTAATATCTATTTTTATTTCTAAACAGGAGTACACTGCTACACAATGAGCGCAATTTCAGTTGTCGTGCTATCACTCACAATTATCTTAAAACTGGATTTCTCCATATTAGTTACTTTTACCGATGCGGGAGTAAAAATTGATATCTATTGCTGATTAGTCACGCAGGCGATCAACGACGCAATTGATTGTAGACTAAAACAATTCAATAACTTTATAGTTTTGCTGTAATATCCTAGTCTCTTATAATAAAACGTGTTTTGTTATTCTTGCGTCAAGGTTTAAACAAACAAACTGCATTGCAATTAAAGCAAGCGATATCAGCATATCCAATTATGATCATTCATTGTTTCGAGATGTACTTCGATAGGGCTGGCATACGAAATCAGACCGTCAGTCGTTCTGATTGGTGCTTGCTATCAAGTAGTAAAGTGCACAATTGTAGCCGGATGGCTGCTAGGGCTGCAACATCAACAATTAGCGAGGCAGCGGACCGACTTGTTGCTCAACAACGGAACTTGCCACATGCTCGCCGGAAGCGACCCGACCTTGACGCCAAAATATATGCACCGAGTAACCGATTGTCTTTATAACAGTGATAAACGATTTCTAATTACTTACTTCTATTTCAGTGCATATTGATATAAATAAATTGTATTTGTAGTAAAAATTATGAAATCTTTTTAAGGACAAATGTAACGGCATTGAAATATTGCGAGGTTCACGAGGTATGCATTTATCAAAGATCAATGAAATTGTTATGCAAAATATCATGTTTCTACGCATAGCTATTTAAGTTTTGCATGGATTAGTTAGTTAGCGTCCCCTTTTGAGTATTTTCTAAAGACTTATACATATTCTTAAAGATAAATAACCGTGTGTTCTAAAGTAAAAACACAGTACGATTGCAAAGTTTAAATAAAGGAAAGTTTTACATGGAAAAATGGGCCAACGCAACGCCAGACGCTTGCCTCCGAAGGAAGATCGATCAATTTAATCAGTGGTCGCCATTAAAGATTTTCTAATCGTTCCTAGGTAGGTTAACTACAAGAAAAAGCCAATCGATACAAATGGAGTTATGTGTTACGATGTTATAAACTGCTTTTACACTCGGAACCTTAGTTTTTCCCTGCAAGCGGGAGAGTCTAATAATAAATAATTAGTTTAATTACAGCTTTTAGTCAGTCGCTGTCGGGACACGACGTTTAATGTTTATGTCGACGTGTGACCACGAGAACTGCGGACAACGGTATCAGATCATAACTGTAAAGTGATTTAACATGACAATATCAAAGGGAAATGACGTGCTTGCTCGTGTTACAATCAAATCAGAGATGAAAATGTGAAAAGTATCGAGTTTATGGCACGTAAAAATTAGGTGTTTTAACTTTTATTTTAAGTTTTTATGTAATAATATGTCTTTGATCTTAAAATAAATAAATAAGTAGTTCCTTCAGTCCGTGATTTGTTTTGTATTCAACATAACGTTTATTTAAAACCAATAAACAAAGTCGAAGAGCTCACTCTCATTAATTGAAGCCCACAGGTGGAACAAATTCAGTACATACAATACCTATGTATGTTAATAGAGTGATTTTATTAACAGTTGATGGTAAGATAACGCTGTCTCTCTGACTACAGTACGTCTTTGTGAGCGCTGGGATTCATTTTATTAAATCTAAAGATTTCAATACAGATTACACACTGGCTCTTAAACTACAATGAACGAACTTTAAATGTATTTTTCATTCCATTGCGTAGATTGATTACGGTTCAGTGGTTTTTTTTATGGAAATAGTGCAATGGATGTCGTACGATATTATTTTGTTTTTATTTTAGTAGTGGGTTAATAAATGTTTGCTAATGCTATGCCGGTAGACGTTTACGATAATTGTGTATTTTTTTATTTTAAAACAATGGTTAGTACATTTTGTTAATATATTTTACATGTTACTTAAACAAAGCTTTATTAACTACTTCAGTTTTATGTATTGAATGCATGAGATATAGTGTTGTGAGTTGTGATGCCTAATTTTTGGTAAGAAATGGTTATGAAAGATTTGTTATAAAGTGAACTGCAACCTTATTGCAACAAAAATAAGGTTTCATTTACACTTTCCTTTCAGTAGCTTCGTTGCAATATTATTAAGTGAAATTGTACATAAGTAACTTTCAAACAATCTTCGCCCTTATTGAAACGAGTTTAATTAGAACAAGAACGTTATTCCGATGCTACTAGTATACTCCAGTAGTTATCTGTGTTCTGTGTTACGAACTAAGATAACATCTTACCGTTATCTAAATTAATATAAACAGGAATAAAGTACATGAGATTATCTATAGAACTTTAATTTTGCTTTGGATTTCTCTCACTCTTACTTATGTAATTTTAAGTTTGTGTGATAGAGACAAGAATAATTGCTTGGCTAAAGTTTAATAAATACGCTTTTGAGAAAAGTCGATGTGGTGAGTTGGGAAACCTACTTAGAGTTAATTTTCCAAATAAAATTATTATGCTGGTAAAGCTACCTTAAAGCTAGGTGCTGAAGGTACACAATTCAAAAAAGCAGTCTTACGATGGACTGAAACGTTATAGAATTATGAAAACGTATGTTTGCCAGATCCGCATGAACTATTAGGTAAACTATATTAACCAATTTTATCTGTTTATTTAATATTTAGACCTTTACAAAGTACATTTAAGGAACATTTTCCTTGCAAATATTGTAAAACATTCAACTTCCATTGAAATAACACTGAAGTGTTATCAAATTGGGTTTTATGAGTGAATTTATTACGTGGAACAATTAAGGAATCAAGTCGTTGATGACACGTGTACGTGTGACGCACACTAACATGGTCCTTTGATAACAACGTGTACCTATCTGTAATGAGTACATTTTCATTGATGCGATTATATCCTTTAAGCCCATGGTCATTTAAGAACTCTTTTGGCATGTATTGAGAGCTCAATTGAAGCGAAGATTATGTTAAAATTAGTCCTTGATCCAATATCCACTTTACAGACAAAAGACGACACATTGAACACCAAAATATCGTGTCTTTTGATAAAAAATGTTTTGCTTGTTTCGGGGAATCGAACCAGAGATCTTTTACTAGTACTTTTCCATTGACTAGTTACATTCATTGATAAAATATAATAATGATAAAAAGATTTAGCAATGCGTTATTCACATCCTGCGCGTGATTTCGTGTTAGATGCGCGCGGGCACACCGGAAGCGCGAATAGACGCCGCGCAGACGCACGCACTTCCGCCGCGCTAGGGCATCGAACCCGCCACCTGTCCAGTGTATGATCCTAGGCAAATATCAATACGTTTAACACAGTGAATAATTCGCAGGAGGAATTTAAAGCTAATTGATAGGTGTCATTGATATTGCAAGTTCTAAGTTCTATATAAATATGTGTCTGTATGTTATACAGTTTGTTACTATTTGGAATTTAAGTTAAACCTTTGTTTTATTGTGATTTTTTTGACTAACCATTTTAGTTTAGTGCTAATTTCTTGTACTAGTAATCTTCATGCATTTTTTTAACGGGGAAAATCATCGAATGACTGCTCCCGCCTGGGTGAGGTGGGAGGGAGTGTCAGACTCTTACTGACTAAAAACCACCCCGTTCCATCTCCTGGTCGTCGCGCCGGAGCCCAGGTAACCCGTTAGGTTCTCCGCGACAATCTTCATGCATTTGCAAGTCCTTAAGATCACTTAATCTATATATATAAAAGAAAGTCGTGTTAGTTACACCACTTATAACTCAAGAACGGCAGAATAGATTTGGCTGAAAATAGGTAGCTTAGAGCCAGGAGACCGACATAGGATACTTTTTAACCAACTTTTTTTTTTACCGAAAATCACGAACGGGGACGGGATAAAATGGGATTACGCGTACGAAGTCGCGGGCAGAAGCTAGTTTTCCAATGAAGATAAAACGACTCTACCGGTGGTGTTTGGTAGTACTTGTCATTAGTATTAGAGCGTTTCTCGTCTTCTCTTCCCAATTTCTTCTACCGTCTACCAATTTCAGTCAGATAACTGCTATAAAGTGAGCAGTTTGTCAGTCACCACCATAAAGGTGGGGGGTGTATATCGCAGGCGGTCGCGACACGGCGACGCGTCCGTCACATTACCATATGCAAATGCTACCTTGTATTTATACGCTTTGTCGACTGTACGCTAACAGTTTTTGCTTGTAACCAGTACATACTTAAATATTGAACGAGGGAAAAACAAGACAGCTATCAGAACATTCTTACGCGCTAATGACGTCACTTTAGCATCGGCATCACAAAAAGTGTTGCGATTATTTGTCGCGCTCGTTCTTACATGTCTGTAGAAGTGTAGACCACACCACACGATCAATTTACACTTTAATGATTTCAAGCCTCATTATTACAAGTATCAAGTGTACTCCGACTGCAACTGGCGATTCAGTAACAGATATTAATCATAATTTTATTAGCTTACTTTGTAGCAGGTGCATAATATTAAAATGGACCGATCGCATTAAAAATAACACGCGTTGATTTTTTCCTTCATCTCTCAGATCTTCGACGACTGAAGTCTAAAATTAATATTTACGTGCTTTTATTGCCTTTTCTTCCTGACCATAAAGTGCTATTGCTCGATCCCAAATGAACTGACAGCGTTTACATTACTGTGAAATAAACCATAACTTGGAAATTTCTTATTCCCGACTGAACAAATGTCTTTGTCTGATATTGTCTAAGCATTTACTGAACGTTAAACAGTAGTTATGAACGTATTTTATGACTCAACCGCCTTCCAATGCTAACTTCAATTGTCTAGGAACAGAAGCTAATGATTATCTTTATACTTGAAAATTAGCGATAGTATTACTGTATGTAGGTAACACTGAGTTTGAATGTCAAAGTAAATAACGTGTAAATTGTAGTTTTCTTTGTGAATTAGAAATTGTAAGACATATCACGTCTTAAGAACCAACTTGAATGAGGTAATTTTATGTAGTGTATCAAAAAGAAAGGTACCTACCTCTATATATTATTTCAAGAAATGCATTTAACATGTACAGCATTCTTTCTTGATCTCTGATAGGTGAATACTCCACTAGGAATCGTAAAATAAAGGTACAATAGTTTACATTACTTCGTAAGTAAGGGTTCTTACCTTTGGGTACGCCGAGGCGCAGTTGCTCCTTCTCCCAGGAGGCGAAGGTAGCCTTCAGCGCCTCGGCCATTTTCTTGTTGGTGCCTGGCGTCAATGGCGGCACCTGTGACGGGATGTCTGCAACAAAAAATGGAACTAAGTTTAAAATCGGTCACATTTTAAAATCTTTTCACGTCTTTCAAACAAGTAAATTTTCGCAAAAACCTAAATGAAAATTGAAGTCATGTTCTGTCGATTAGAAAACGAAACCAATTCGGGGTAGGTACCCAAGAACATCCAACCAATCAGACTTGCTTACTCTGATTTTCTTTCATAACCGCATTAGAGAAGCCATTTATTATTTTAATATGCTCCTTATAATCAGGTTCGTTCATATGCATGGGCTAGATATGATCTGTTTGCAATGAGTTATTCATAAGCATTCATAAGCCTCAGGGTTATTTTAAACCATATCCATATAGATTAACGCCATAGTTTCACCGTATACTTTATGCGGGAAGTCTTCAACATGGGACTGAGTTCAAGCTCTTGTCAACCGAGATCGTTATCGTTCGGATTAATTACTTTATCTACGACATTAATACTGTGCATCGAAGAACAAATTAATAGCCAACTTTTTGAAACTTGATGGTTTCGAATAAAATAAATCAGAGATAAACAAGCAAGATTGAATTTGATGTGTCTGTGTGCGTTCGTGTCGGTGTGTAGTTCTTGTGCAGGTTTGTAGGCTTCATTCATAAGTGCGCCTGGTTTGTGGCGTCGGTGTGCGTGGTGTTGTTGCTGTGTGAGTGCTGCGCGCGCGCACCTGCCGACCAGTTCTGAGATGCGGAGATTTGTGCACCTCTCCCACGGTCGGTGCCCGCTCGGCCTCTGATCTGCTCTAGCTGAACCTCGCTCTGATATAATTTAAATTTTTCTCTGTGTTCGTCGTTTTAGTTTCAATTAGAGCCAGAGCATTCTGTGTTCCAATCACAATTAAGTAGCATAAAGCTGGAAACGCTTTGATGTTGTGTGAATGCGGTATCTGTTTCTATACTGTCATGTTTTAATGTCTGTAAATGAGTTGGATGAAATATTCCTTATGAAGAATTCTCAGATCTGAGGAACATGTTGTAAAGCTTTGGATTTAATGTTCATTACTTAATTTTCTTGTGACAAGTAGCTACGAAAATGACTTTGTTGACAGAAGTTAAGCGACCATATTAACTATAGACAATATCACCTTGGTATAGTTAACACCTTATTTATTCATTTTGCCGTTGTCTGCAGCACGTAGCAGTGCGCCAGTGCAAGGTGGCCGGAGTCCCGGCGGTTGCGAATCACGCCTGCATTAATTGCAGCCACTCTCGCGCAATGTGATTTACTCGCACTATATATCTCGCGCAGCTGCACTTGACTCACGATTATTGCGTACACGCATCTTTTTACACTAACACTCTTACAAGCTTCGTTCCAAGTGCATGCTTTGATTGCATTGTTAGTGCGATCTCGATATATTTTTACTTCTTCATAAACAAAAATAAAACTTCTCTTTTTTTCTGACCTTTTACTAAACCGCGGTTTTTGAACCATGTAAATATTTTTTTATTATTATACGTCATGTAAATAATGATGAGAAACGTCTATACGTTTGCTGTAATGTTTGTGTAAAGGTTTCACGTAGGTTTGTTTTTGAAATTACTTAAAAAGCTTTTCATTGCGTTGTTAACGATTTTATTTACTTTAGTATATTGACGGCTCGCCTAATTGAAGCATTTAGAATTCATCCCTTTACACGCAATGTGCATTATATGTACAATGCGCTTTTTATGTTCATTGTAGTGCCGATAGTTTGTAATGAGTGTGTATTGAATGTATAGCATTTATACAAACACCTGCTTGTGCGATTTATCCATACCAATAAAGTTACTTATTGTAAGACTCCTTGCTAACGAGCCTCCGGGGCCACGTCGAAGAAAAGAAATCGCCCAATTCAAACATCTCAATGAAAAACAAAAAAATATTCATAAAGATCAAACCATTCCCAACTAATTAATGATGTTACTCATATTTTCACATCAAACAGGTCGGTAAATAAAAATACATAATATTAAAACTTATGTTCTTTAAAATTATTTTAAAAGTAATAGAGAAGTGCTGTCGTGAAAATGTTTTAGCCGAAATACTTGCACCGCCTCCGTGGTCGTTAACTCTAGTGTTGGGAGGGCACCAAAATGTTTTTTTAAAGATGAAAAGAACATTAATTCTCTTTGACTGTTATAAAGTTTGCAGAATGTGCGTGTCACACACGCTAGTAAAACTCTCAGTGGGATATTTTGAAGAAATTATTTGATAACAAGTACTTACTAATTTGATGTTCTGGTGAAATATGTTCGAAATAAACTTTTATTTTTTATGACATTGAACTCAGGAACAGTTTAAATACGAGCACGACTTAATTTATCGACAAGACTGATGCACCGGTGTATTGCTGTATTCCTTTAATGACTTAAATTAAGCTGATTGCAATTATCTGTGGCTACTTGATGTATGAAGGTGGTGGCACGAATAACAGTCATGCTCGACATTAAGATCTTGAATGGAATTTTGGATGAACAAAAACTACGATGGCAAGACTTCCGTTTCCGTAATTAAAGTAATTAATTCGGAGTGATTTCGGTTTAATTGTCGAGTAGTTTCCGATGAGCCTCATCCGTTGTATGATATTGTTACTGATAGGTTTTAAGAACGCTCAATTGTTTAGTGACAGTATTTGGTAAACTCTCGTGATTTTATGTTCATATTAATTGTGAATGTAATAGAAGTCACAGCTATAAGCTTTAACATTTTTAATTCCACATCAAACTCGCTATGTCTACTTAGGACCTTTTTTAAGCAACCATCTAAAAATAGAGGCCAGTTAGTGAACAATCTTTCAAGTCATGGAGGCCTTAACATGTCGAATGTTCTTAGTACAGTGGTGAAGAGAATTGTGAATGGCGTAGATAAGTGCACAAAGCACCGGAGATGCGCCGTGTGGCTCAGCCGTGGCCGACCGTCGAGGACGACCCACAACCTTCGGACTTTCGGCTACCACAGGCTATATTTGGTAATACTACCATTGTTTTTCAATTAACGAAATTAGAAAATGTTTTTGAATTTAAAAATAGAACATTCTTTTCGATTCTTGTGTTATTAGTTGTTTTTTTGACATTGTAATTTTTTTTGGCCTGTTTAGTTTTTTTTATTTACAAGTTTGCAACTATATTATTATATGACCTTTTTTCTAATGCAGCTTAGGACAATAAAGATATAAAATGTCATTTAATTTAGTTGCGTTAATGCAACTTTAAGTGTTGTTTTTGTACTTAATTATGTTTCTTTATATAAAATTGCGTGTCACACAACATTGTATAGAATAAACTGCGATTAAAATTGTAGTGTGGGCCATCTTTCATAGTAAAAAATTAAAAAGTCAATAGTTGCCATTTTGAAAACTTAATTGTATATTGTACGTTTTGACATGCGACAATGTATTCTATGTATTGAGAAGATGTCGACGTAATTAAGTTAATATGTATTACGGATAATTAAAAGCGCTGAGAATTATTCCAACTGTAAAATAATAGGAAAAAATGCGCTTTCTTTTGCTTCATCCTTCGAAACTTTAATTCCATTTCACGGCATAAAGAAATGTCTAGATAGCGGACAGCGGTGCACATGCGTACATCAGCGAAACAATGCATGCAACAGGCTACGTTTCTTTATCCAACACATTTCACATTATGCTAATGTTCGATGGTTGCACGGGAACAGGTGGCGAACGAGGGTTGCAAGGGGGAACCTAACCGACACTTGTTGCGTCCACCCATTGTATGGACGGCAGCAAACAAATGTACCTAGTTAATGGCTTCATTATACCCGGCTAGACCAAACGACAATTGGTTCCAGGTAATCTAAACAGTAGTTTATATCAAAGTGAAGGGACCCTTTAACTTCATCGAAAATTACGCTTTTGCAATCGTTGCTTGTATCTAATACCATTTATTTTGTCTTTCAATTCACATCTTCGTTAGTATTCGACCTTTTTTGTTAGAGGAAAAGTGATAGAATGCTACATGAATATGTTATGTGCATCTTCATAATGAACCAACTTCTAGCCCGGCGGCCACCACAATAGCCCGCCAGAACAAAAGCTCGCGCCATTTTTACCGAACCCATTGTTCACCGTTTGAACTTGGAACGTCGCGTGACGTAAACGGCGCGTGCGCTGTTTCGCATTCAAATCGCCTTCTTTTTGCTTATAATTATACTAAATATCATTGCAAAACGATCATTCTTGTTAAAAGCTACGATTAAAGTAATTCTTTGTATAAATACCTTATTTGTGACTTCAAAAGTCATTTTAAATTCCTTTTGTACTGTAAATAACCCTTTTGTTAAGTTTTTTTTATGAACAGTGTTCAATATCATTGCTATTTATTGTCACTGATTAAGCTTGAGTATACGACACGTTGTTACCGTGTGAAGCCAATTATTCGAGGCAAGTATGTAGTTTGAAAAATTGTTCATTTGCTTACCGATGTCACCCTTCCACTCGTTCAACCGTGGAGGAGGGTTATGCCATAATGCGGTAAAATTGTTATTGTTCAAACGGTTCCCTGCTCACTGACGCAGAAAATGATCGTTTTGCGTATGAGTTGTACATTTATTTAATACATTAAAATTCGTTATGCTAGCCAACCGTTGCTCTACTTTTGTTATAAGATAACTGCAGTACTGTAGGCCCTCTATCTAATGAACAGTGTGAGGCAGACGTTACAAGTTCATTACATTGTCGTAACACGCGTTTGTTATAAAACTCCTAGAACGATATCTGAAGTCCTCATCGTTGTTGCCTGCCGAGGTGGAGAATCTAACAATGCTCACTTATCTTTCAGTGATCTGTGGCTGCGTTGATCACGAACGTAGGCGATGGACCTTTGCTCAATGACAGAGGCGGCGCGGTCGGCCGCTGCGCGCGCGCATCATCTCATTGAGCGCGCACCGGATGGGCCAATCAGCGGCGTGAATGGACGCCCCCGCGTTGCGCTGCTGCTGCTCCGCGTTATTAGCTCCCGTACTAGATGCCACTGTTTCT